CCACACATAATGTCAGGCACAGTGCACATTTAGGTTGGGAACTGTTTCCCACACTCTTTGGGCCACTGGAGTTAGTGGCTAGCTTAGTGTTGTCATTGTTTATGACGATGTTCGCATATTTCCTAATTGGGAAAGTCATTACATAATATCAGTTTGGTTTGTACTGTCCGCTTTTTCACTACAAAAGTTTGTAGTGTCCGCTTTTTGGACAACAAATATTTGTAGTGTCCGCTTTTTAGACTACAAAAGTTTGTAGTGTCCGCTTTTTTCATTACAATGTTTGTAGTGTGTGCTTTTTAGACTACAAATGTTTGTAGTGTCCGATTTTTTCATTACAATGTTTGTAGTGTGCGCTTTTTAGACTATAAATGTTTGTAGTGTCCGCTTTTTTCATTACAATGTTTGTAGTGTGCGCTTTTTAGACTACAAAGGTTTGTAGTGTCCGCTTTTTTCATTACAATGTTTGTAGTGTCCGCTTTTTAGACTAGAAATGTTTGTAGTGTCCGCATTTTTCACTACAATGTTTGTAGTGTCCGCTTTTTGGACTACAAATGTTTGTAGTCTTTGCCCTTTTCATTACAATGTTTGTAGTGTGCGCTTTTTTCATTACAATGTTTGTAGTGTCCGCTTTTTAGACTAGAAATGTTTGTAGTGTCCGCTTCTTTCACTACAATGTTTGTAGTGTCCGCTTTTTTCATTACAATGTTTGTAGTGTGCGCTTTTTAGACTACAAAGGTTTGTAGTGTCCGCTTTTTTCATTACAATGTTTGTAGTGTCCGCTTTTTAGACTAGAAATGTTTGTAGTGTCCGCATTTTTCACTACAATGTTTGTAGTGTCCGCTTTTTGGACTACAAATGTTTGTAGTCTTTGCCCTTTTTATTACAATGTTTGTAGTGTCCGCTTTTTTCATTACAATGTTTGTAGTGTCCGCTTTTTAGACTAGAAATGTTTGTAGTGTCCGCTTCTTTCACTACAATGTTTGTAGTGTCCGCTTTTTTCATTACAATGTTTGTAGTGTGCGCTTTTTAGACTACAAATGTTTGTAGTCTTTGCCCTTTTCATTACAATGTTTGTAGTGTGCGCTTTTTTCATTACAATGTTTGTAGTGTATGCATTTTAGACTACAAATGTTTGTAGTGTCCGCATTTTTCACTACAATGTTT